TACTTTCTCCCATAAAAAATGAGGAGTTAGCTCTCTCAAACTATTTTCATCACCAACCTTAAGCCCACCGCTCATAAAACCCTATGTTCTGAAAATAGCTGTTTCATAAGTTTTAGTTACTGTTTACTATTTGCATTATTTTGGCTACATAAAAAAACCTTATAGCGTAACCTTTTTATAAAACTGTTCTTCCTGGAGTTAATAATTGATTCCCCTAGTATTCAACGTAAGGATTGCTAATTCTTCCACCCAGACTGTCAGACTTTACTGTAAAATTCCTCTCAGTGGTGTCATATACATAATCGGTTATCTCATTTTTTTTCCTTGGCAATCCCCCATAGAGAACTTGAGGATTTATGTGAAATGATTGCCCACTAGACTTGCTACACAAATTTCATCCTGGAAATTCCATTCCCTGGTTATTTGTTTTGAATTCCTGGTGTCCTTGTTGCCATGTCATTCAGAACACTTTGTTTATTCTCTCATTGGGATGGAACTATCTCTCCAGTAGCTTTTGAGAAGAGATTAAAAAACATTAAGGATCCTCGTATAATTTTAAGGTAGACATAAGTTTTGAAGGCATATTTGCCTGTCATCTCATTTCCACTTTACTTTTGAGAAATCTATTGCCATTCTGAATTCTAATTCCTAATATATCATCTCTTTTCTGTCTGTGATAACACTTAAGATCATTTGCTCATCTCCTAAACTCTGAAATATCACAATGATGTTTCTTGATGTGGTCTATTTTTTCTTCCATGTATCACTACATATTCATAGGTTCCCTTCAATCTGAAGACTTGGTCATTAATTCCGAGGCATTTCCTGGATTTTCTTTCTTTGAAAAATTTCTTCCCTCAATTTTCTCCGAAATGTTCCTGAGAAATGTGGTTCCCCTGCAATGTGACCAATGAGTTTTCAAGTTTTAAGTAATTCTCTGGAGTTTATTGTTGTCTCTGCTCTCTTTTCCAAAGAAATTATTCTAGAATAGTAAGAATCTGAAGCTAGAAAGAAATGAAGATTTCTTCCATTCAGTAGGAAACTCTACTTCAGATCCCATTTGACTTGGATGTTGTGAAGGCAGAAAATTTACCACAGAAGACCTGAGTTAGATGTTTCTTCCTCTGCAAATCCTTACATATTCACCATCCCTAACACTGCTCACTATTAAGAAAAAAACAAAAAGGAAAGAGGGAAGGAGGGAGGGACGGAGGGAAGGAGAGAAAGAAGGACGGAAGTAAGGAAGGGAAAGAGAGAGAATCACAGTAATACATTGAACTTTCAGAAGGAGAGAACATAACTGTTGTTAGTCGAGGTGGGAAAGGGGGAGGGGGAGGGCGTTATGGGAAAATTGGCCAATGGACACAAAGAATGATTATGTTTTATAATGATGAATATGCTAATTATTCTGATTTGATCATCACATGTGGTACACAAGTACCAATAGTTATGAGCCCTACTTGGTGTTAAATTTTCCATGCTATTGGTATATCTATCAATGGTATTATAGCCCTGGTAGGACTTATTATCCTTGTTTCCATGAGTTTCTCCCATGAAATTGTAAGTTGTGATAGGAAAAGTAGAAAATATTACTTAGATGTATATTTCCAATCTTTAGCAGAGTGTCTACCAACAATTGGGTACTAAATAAGCTTTTTGAAGAGTCATCGTGATCGGACTACCACCAGTTCTGAAGTAGTGCACACTTGATTTCAGCCGCAGGTGCTCATTTGTGCCTTCCTCTCCCAGACTGTAGAATCAGCTGTAGTGATTATCAATAGGCTCTTCTTTTCGAAGGACAGTTGGCAGGCCAAGTTCAAAGCTATACGTTTATTTCAGAAGCGAGTGCAAAGTAGAGCATGATCATTTGATATCAAATTTAGGTATGATTCTCACAATGATTCTCAAACTAGAATGTCTCTGTCTTTTTTTAAATATAGTAACATTCAATTTTGTTTAATTTTAAAATATACACTGTAAATTAAATGCTTATGTAAGGAGTAGTAAGTGTTACTTAATTAACCCAAAAGAATAAATTCAAAATCACTTTGTATCTAAACATCCTATACACTAATATCACCGAAAGCAAATCTGGATATTTTATAAGTATTTTCTAGAATCATTGCATAATTAGAAGTGCCTACACTCTCTTGTAGTATTAATGCAATGATGTTTGAATGCAGGCATTTGAGAAGTAAAAAATCCCCATGGAAATTCACTTCATAAAATCAACACCCTGGAATGACATACACTTTTCCAGATCCTCCATCCAAATCTTCAGCAGCTGAGCTCATTCTTAATGAAATGGCATGAATAGGATTACAAAAGTAATGTAGTGGAAATTTGCAAAATTAGTAGTCAGTGGTTTGAAATGTAATTTTAAATAAGGTAGTTAGGAGAAGTGGCTCTTATGGAAAGCCAGGTCTTTCTCTATCTTACAGGACAGATTCTAGTCAATTCAAGTGATTTAGAAAATGAGGCCAGTATGCTCAAATGCAATTGACAATAATCTAATGCTCTTATTTATTAATATTCTGTCCAGCCTTTAAATTGTAGAGGCAGATTTAACTATAAATCTTACAAAGATGAATTTTTTAAAATATCAGTCAGAACACAATATGGAATGGACACTCAAAATGTAATAATGATGCTCATAAAGATAATTAGATAATTTTATGTCTTAAAAATGAAGACAGTGTACATTCACAGGAATGATTTAGAAATGTTCAAAGAACCTAGATTAGAAACAAGAACAGGGGCTGGCCCGGTGGCGCACTGCTACAGTGCGCCGCTTGGGAGCGAGGCGGCGCTCCCGCCGAGGGTTCGGATCCCACATACAGACCGGTTCCCGCTCACTGGCTGAGCGAGGTGCGGATGCAACACCGAGGGTTGCGATCCATTGCCGGACACGAAAAAAGACAAAAAAAAATAAAAAGAAATGAGAACAGAAAGAATTAATATCAAATCTATCTCATTGACAGTCTCTTTTTGCAGTTAAATTGTCTCAGGACTTGTTGAACTATCTCCCATTGGCTTGATAGAAATACTTACCTTCTTGTCAAGGCTGAGTGAAATAGGTTAATTAATATTATTGTAAGATTTTAAAGGCAAAAATTTTGTGTAATCATTTCCTCAAGGAGTTAGTAAAACTACATCCCTCCTTAGTAAAATAAATGAAACCAGAATTTAGGCTCAACTGAAATGTAAATGTGGCTTAGGAATGACACAGTAATACCACTTGGCATTTCTTAAGTTAGCCTGCTCTTTCTACATTGGATAAAAATAAAGAAAAGAAAGCATCTAAAACAGAACCACCCTATTACAACCCAAATTTGCCCATGAAAGCAGAAATTTTCTGGCTTGCATCTGTGCGTTTTTTCCACTTTCCGTAGCCTCCCACACTATAATGACTTATGCATGGAATTCAGAGACTTTATGTTTTCTTTTGAGTGGAAAGTGAATACCAAGATGGAAAATGTGAATGCTGACCATTTTCGAAGATGGCCACAGACATCTGAGGGAACCAAATAGTATCCAGAAAGACATTTGGTCAGGCGGGGGTACCAAAATTCTAGTATATTCCTTAACTTCAGCAGTCTGTATAGGGTGGGAATATTTACCTTTTGGGCATGTGCTTAGTCAGAATAGCTTGAGATTTTTGGTAGAGAGTCAGAGTCATTTTCAATAAACTGAGGTGATCCAAAACCAGTACAGCAGTTAATCTTGTTTATGGCTGAAATCAATAAGCCAATCCATGTTAGGTGCTGACAGTTCTTATGTGCACTAGAAACTAAAAGTATCTGCTCTTTGAATGGGATTTTTTTTTTCTACAGTCCAGAAATCTGGTTTCATTGCAGGACAAAGTTTGGTTTAGTCTTTTTTATAAGGTTGAGTTTACATTGGTAGAACTTGTTTCCTTTAACTAAGTGTTTAAATAATTCAAAACAAAAGCATGGATACCTGAAATGTGTTTATATTCTGACCTTATCTTACGCATGATTTTCTTGTTTATTAAGTTTTTATGGCCAAATTTTAACAGAAATAAACAGAGAGAATGAGACTCCAAATTTTTAAATAGTAGTCCTAATCGTTTTATCATGCCCAAATCTTATTTTTGGTTCACTTCCTACGTGAGAATTTAGAGTTTATCCAGACTAGAGAAATGTGGTGGGAAGGAATAAAGGTGGAATCTCATAATTCCATGTAGGCAATAAAGTTTGTTGACTATCTGAGCCTGGGCCGTAGAACCAAGACCTAGTTTGAAGCCGGGCTCACTTCCTAGATGTATAACTTTGGGCAAGTTATTTAATTTCTCTAAGTCTCAACAATATTAACTTGCTAGCTAGTAGTAGCTGTAATAGGATGCATATACAGATGTATTTATCCTAAGGCATCGTAGACAGTGTGTGTTATGCTTTCTTACACATGAATTGTGTGTTAATATGAGCTAAACTGGTTTATTCTGTGTTTTTTAATCACTCCCTGGAGTAAATGCATCCTGGTCATTTGGGATTGGTATTAGCTCTTTTGCACACTAATACATTACACATGTGTCTCTGTAGCCCAAGTTTTGCATGAACAGTTCCCTGGTGGATTTGTTGCAATTCAAACCAAAGAGCAAATACAAAAATAAATCAGGTTACGTACGCAAGCTAGGGTGACAGTTTTCCTCCAGAGATTTTTATTGAGTCTTGCAATCCAAATATTTTCTTAATGGAGTTTTAAATGTTTGATATTTATATCTTTATTCATTAATAAACCAATCTAACTGCCTTTAAAAATATTGCTAATGGTTTTTGACCAAAACTATTAGATGTAAAATTTTCTTCTAATATTAGGCTGCTTCTTAAAGAAATAGCACTATTAAAGCTATTAAATAGAAGTTTTATAAAGTCTCTTACCTCCATTTTCATAGGACAGTTTAAGTGCTCTCTTTTCCAAGATGTATTTTGGCTTTAGAAATGTATTTATAACTATATATTTTTAAAATTTTTTAATAGGTGGTGAAATGACAAAACTCACTCTCTCCTTTGATCCATGAATTTGAAATAATCTTTCATCAAGTTCCATCTCCCTTAGCCTCATATGGAATGTATCTCTCTGTCTGTTGTTAAACTATGATGACATGTCTGTAGCTATCAGAAAGAGAAGCTGGGAAGAACATGTGACCCGATGGATGGGACAACCTTTTAATTGTGATGATTATAACACAGCATGTCATCATGGACTAGTAGCTGACAGCTTGCAGGCAAGAATGGAAAAAGATGCAACTCTAAATGTGGACCGCAAAGAGAAGTGTGTTTCACTACCAGACTGCTGTCAAGGATCAGAGCTGAGAGATTTTCCTGGGAGGCCAATGGGTCACGTTTCAAAGGAGGTGGATGAAAATGACAGCCATGAAGGTGAAGATCAGTTTCTGTCTCTGGAGGCCAGCACAGAAACACTCGTGCATGTTTCTGATGAGGATACAGATTCTGATCTATATCTTACAGATGATAAACAGATTTTAACTACCGAAGGGTGTAAAACATCAAGCCAGCATAGTGTCAAAGGAGCAGGCTCCTTAGTAAATACACTGCCCATCATGGAAAGTAATCAAGATTCTTATAACTCCTGGGGAGTGGCTGGTAAAGCTGATTTAGCACTGGCAGAAGAAAGTGGGGAGAGAAAAGTTGTTAACACTATAAGTAAAAGCCTGGAGCTTTGTAACAATATGAGCGTAAGTGAAATAAAAGATGTACCCCAAGTAAATTCATTTGATACTTTGAATGTGAAAGACATTGTACCTGAGAAGCAATTGCTTCATACTGCCGTAATTGCTCAGCAAAGAAGGAAACCTGACTTGCCTAAAGAGGAACATGAAAGAAACACCTGCAGTGTAGTACAAGATGAGTTCTTGGCTAGTGCTTGTACAGACAGAGGACTGCCATTATTAAAAGCAGATTTTGGAAGCTGTGTTCTGCAGCCTCCTTCCTGCCCCAGTGGAATGTTAGCTGAAAATGACCTGGAGAATAGTGGCTTCTCAGAACATCAGAACAAAAGTCCCCCAGAGGTCAATGAAGGAGACGACATGCAGTGTTTACACTTAGAGGAGAGTCCGGCCACCCAGGAACCTACAAATAACCAAGTCAGACTGCGCAAAAGAAAGGTAAGACACATGCACAGATTATCTGGCTTTTGAAATCTTGTAAATATTCTTGTTTTCATCACTTATTATTTTGCTTGAATTCAAGAGATACGTAGATGTTTCTTTTGCCCTGTGATGCAACTGCATAATTTAAAAACTGTCCACTTGGTGACACCATCAAAATATGTAAAAATCAAAATACTATAATCTATCCATTTTACTAATAATATTTATAATGGTGTGTAAATTTTTAGTTTATTTGGAAACTGTTGAAGACAGGATTGGTATCACTTTATTTAGTTGGAATTAAATAGCCACCGGGTACCTCATAATTATGCAGCTCAGGGCCTTCTGAAGAGTAATCTCTAATTTTGAGAAAGTCATGGTACTTTTTATTTAATATCATTTATTTGGACCTGTTTCCCTTTTCCTTCAAAAAGTGTATCTTATCATAGTAAAAGCGGTAGAAATTGCATATTGAAAATAACTCCTTTACATATACAAAGGGAGCAGTACCCCCTCCCACAAAATGTGCTGATGCTATTTTAAATGATATCTTGTCACATCACAGTCTCTGTTTCTTACAATGACTTTTCTTCAACTCTTGACCAAAAAGGGCCAATAACTGAAGTTATTTTTGGTGCCAAGGGCTCTTTGACTAATTCTGGTTATGCCATGATCCTCTAAGAGGTTTCCAAGTGAGAGAAGCAACACTTGGGAGGGTGCTAGATGGATTACGGTTTAGCTAGTGAACTCATGACCAAACCTTGTCTTATCTTTAGGATTCCTCCAAAGTTCTTCCAAAAACTTACTGCTCTATCATCCTGATATAAGTCCAAATATAATTTCTTTTCCTGTAAATGCCACATGGCCATTGGCATTGAAGAAACCCTGCAGATTGGACACTTTTGGGCAACAATTAAAACACACCTCCTTGCCCCTCTCTTGATATAATATAATCTATAATTGCAATTCTCCAAGACACAAAACTAATGTTCTTAGTTCTGTTCAACTGGGGCTGTCTATCTACAATGAGAAAAAAAATCTTCAGCTCTCTTTGTGGTGAAGAAATCTGGTTTGCTTAAACAGTGGTTTTGTTAACAAACTAGATCAGTAACGTGTCATGAGTTGGTATAAGTGAAGTCAAAACTTTACAGCAAAAATCAGTGATCAAGCTATATGCCAATAGAGCATTCTGTGCATCTGGTAAACTCGCCCTTTCTTACAAAGGTTGTATTAGAATGTTAATAATGCCCCATAAAGTTGCTATGATTGGAGTGTTCAGATAACTTTTTCAGAAATTTCCATATCATCTATCGAACCTGTGGGAGTGAATGCAATAACGACATAGTATTAACTGACCTATGACAGAGCTCCCCTAAAAGAAGACAAATCCTGCCCAACTGCTGACAGAAACGTTAAACATTCCAGAAACATGTGCTCACCACTTGGACATTTATATCAATACTAGGAATGCTGGAAAGAATTACTCTTGGACATGACACTATAGCATGGCTGCATTTTGAGAGCTGTAATTATATCTCATTTACAAGTTTGAACTTAAATTTCTATTTTAAGCATTTATCATTCTAAAGTGTTGTGGCATTCTCTGGTGGAATATTTACGTTGACTCTACACCCATTTGGGATGCCTTGTAACAAACAGATTAAATGCAAAATTTTAGGTTCAGCATTTACTCTAGAAAAGCATGGTTATGGGAGAATCACCTAGAACTAAAATGTGTAGGAATTTTTGTTATTTTATTTGTCATTGTTATTTTTTATTACTGAATAAGTATTAAAATACTTTTGAATTGACAATTAGCCATTTTAGAACTTTACCAAAAGAAATAATAAAACACATTTATAAAAAGATGTACAGAGATGTTCATTTTTACATTGCATGTTACTATAAAAAGGGAAACAGCCTAAGTTTCCATCAATAAGGAATTTGTTTAATTATTATTTTTCTATTGTATGGAATGCTATGCAGCCACTGAAAGGAGGGAATGAGATCCAAGTGCTCTAAGTTTTAAAAATGCTCATGATATCATGCATCTGAAAAAAAACAGTGACAGACCAATCTGTATAACATATCCAAAATGTATATGTAAATATAGGCAGGAGAATAAACCTCTCCATATGACTGAGTAAGAATATGCAAAATCCTGGCTAAATAGGCACAAAATTATGAGTAGCAATCACTTAAAATGAAAGAAGTTAAAAGGGTAGAAGAAGAGGATTTTCACTTTCTACCCTATATGATTTTTATAAAAGGTGATAGAATTATGGGTGAAATGCATGCAATGAATGGAAGAATAAAATAAAATATTAAATATATAAGCTATTAAAAGCATTTTCTGGGGCCGGCCCGGTGGCGCACTGGATAGTGCGCCGCTTGGGAAGCACGGCGGTGCTCCCGCCTGAGGGTTCGGATCCCACATACAGACCGGTTCCCGCTCACTGGCTGAGCGAGGCGCAGGAGCAACACCGAGGGTTGCGATCCCGTTGCCGGTCCCCGGTCCGGTACGGGGGCAACACTGAGGGTTGCGATCCGTTGCTGGACACGGAAAAAAAAAAAAAGACAAAAGACAAAAAAAAAGCATTTTCTGTGTGGCACAAAACATCCCTTTATCTATATCATTATTATGATTATATTGCTTTTATGAAATAAAAACAAATATTTATAAAGTTTTTCAAAATACCAAGAAGAGTTCCAGAACTACTTGATTCCTAATGTCAGTGCAACTAATTTAAACAAGCTAAGCTTTTTGGAGGGACAGGTGAGCCACATTGTCATATCAGTAGGACATGATACTGGAGGTGACAAATACTGGAAGAGTTTGCTTTAAATATCTATGTCTTGAAAATTGTTTGTCAGCCATGATGATAGCTGTAAGATGAGATCTTGGAAAAGTGAAATAGAATATAAGATAATATAATTTTGGTTAGAAACCTTTAATCAGCTCATTATCTGGTGTTCACGTAAGTGAACCAAATCCTTCATTAAATTTATGAGCACAGATTTCTTTTGTCAGGATATAATCAGGGTTCTAAGACTTGGAAAAAAATAATAAAATAGGGTTTATAAGAGTGATCCTCAGAATGTACTGAAATAGTGCTCTAGAGATATCATTGTACTTTAGATATATATTATAGTCACGTGCTACATAATGATGCTTCAGTCAGCTACGGACTGCAAGTACTATAGCGGTGCCATAAGATTATAATTGTTATACTATATAACTTAGATGTGTAATGGGCTATACCATGTAGATTTGTGAATACACTCTATGATGTTCACAAAAAGAGGACATAGACCAGAGACACGTTTCTTAGAATGTATCCCTGACATTAAGCTACCCATGACTCTTAGTCCTTGAAACCTGTAAGTCTTGGCAGGCGTTCATTGTTTTGCATGACTTATTTTTTCTTGTTTTCCAAAGACATTTCAGATCCAGGATAGCCACGCATATATTTATTAGGAGTCTCAATTAAAGAGGACTGCATTTGTTGTATATGTAAATATTGACCTTTTACTCTAATAGTTTCCCTAAATATCGTGAATTATGTAATGAAATTGAAGCCACCAAAATCAAAGGAAAGCCAAACGGATTGTGAGCAGACATTAGTGATGAGCCGCAAGGTTGTGTGGCACAGAACCAGAGCTCGCAGGACCTGGCTGCGTCCCTGGGGTTGGTTAAAAGCAATTCTGAGACAGATTCTGAAGAAGTCTGGAAGAGAGAGACAGTCTAAGAAGTGGTCTCTTTAAACCAAATGAGATGTGAAGATGGAAAGTATGTAGGGAAAGACTTGAGGTTAGACTTTTTCCTTAAAGAACTAGTGTCTTTGTTCTTGATGGTGGTTTACTAATTAAAGAGTCCAAAATTCAATCTTCTATAAAGACTATTTAAGTATTGCCCAAATTTTTGAAAAACTATTATAACTACATAAATACATGAACATATTTTTATTTGCTCACATAAGACAAGGAATAATCCATATTACCAAGCAAAATAAACTCCAAAAGATATTACAAAAATCATCTGAACTTTGAGAAGACACCTAATTGCACATTCCATCAAAAGCCCCACATTCCAACAATGAACTAATTTTAAGGTCTTATTTTATCAACCTGTATTGGTTAGGTGATAAATTTGGCTAGTATCACAGAAAGCCAGCATCTTTGTCTCGCGCGCACGCGCGCACGCACACACACACACACACACACACAAAATAGCTGGGTATGAACAGTCCTGGCCTCACGTGTAGGCTTGATGTTTTCAGAAGCTCGGGCCCCTTTGGTCTAACTTCTCTGCCCTTTTGAGCCCTCACTGTGTCGTGGGCTGCAGGGGTAGCCCCACTCCTGGGTAGAGGCAGGATGCACAAGGTGTGCACTTGTTTTTATCTGAAACTTCCTGCGCTAGACTTTAGTTGCATGGCTACACCTAGTAATAAGAATCCTGAGAATTGGAGAGTCTGCATTCTGGAAAAGCATGTGCCTGCTAAAAATTTTATTATCAAAGAAGAAAAGGGAGGGCCGGCCCGGTGGCGCACTCGGTAGAGTGCGGCGCTTGGGAGTGTGGCGGTGCTCCCGCCGAGGGTTCAGATCCCATATACAGACCAGTCCGCTCACTGGTTGAGCGCAGTGCGGGCGCGACACCGAGGGTTGCGATCCTGTTGCCGGTCACAAAAAAAAGACAAAAAGGAAAAAAAAAAGAAGAAAAGGGAAATTTATATTGGGGGATAACTCATAATTTAAACATTTTGAGCAATAACACCCTAACGTAATGTAAATATACTCCAAGATATCACGGCATGTCATAAAAGGAACAAGTAGGCTGTATATATTCTGTGGTGTTCTGTATAAATATTTGGTGCTTTAATTCACACTATAGAGTACCTTTTCATGTTAAGAAATTATTTTGTATTATTGAACTGATGTTGATCAAATATTACACTAGTTCATAGAAAAACTATCTAGGAGCAAAATACTACAGTGTACATACCGTACTTTTAATCTGTGGAAAATATAACACATTAATTAGCTATGAC